CAATTTTGGGCTCCGTTCACCGCGTGGAAGTGACAATCTCACCAAACACAAATCATGAATATTTTGAAGAATTAGAAATCAACTTTTGTCTACTCTATGAAATCCCTGAACGCCGTCCTGATGCGTGTATTATATGTATCTAATGCAGCCCGCTCTCGCCAGTCTCCGCCATGTACTTCTGGCAGTTGAGCATGATTCTGAGCTGATCACTGACTTCCTCGAGTCTACCCAAAACCTTCTTGTTTCCATCAACAAAGCTCAAAATGGAGTAAGGAATGCCGGTATCCGCGCAGAACTCGCGGACAAAGACCTGGGCCTTGCGCAGGTTGTGACGGGGCACGCGGGGGAAGAGGTGGTGGACGGCCTGGAACTGGAGTCCGCCGTGGATGAAGTCCAACCAAGCAGGGCAGTCGACGTCCATGGTAGTACGCAGCTGGCGCTGCGGGAAAGACTCGCTCTCGCCGAGGTCCGAGGTCGACATGCCCCAGTGGCTGAGGGTGATCTGGACGTGGAGCGGCATGGTGATGATGTGGGAGACGAGGACAAAGGCGACACGGATGGGCCAGGTGGGCAGCGTGCAGAGGATAAGGCGGTAGCCGAAGATGTACCAGAAGCAAGCCATGAAGGCGATCTCGGTCGGGCGAATCCACCAGGCCTTGCTGTTGCCGAGAGCAGAGGACTTGGTAGAAAGGACGTGAAGCCACGACAGGAGGTACAGGTTGAAGCGCGCGATACCCATGACAGGGTAGTAGGTGAAGCGCTGGTACTGGACGAGGAAGTCGGCGGCGGCGTCCCAGACGAAGGTGAAGTCGTAGTAGGAGGAGCGAAGGGACTTGAAGAAAGAAGGGCACGTCGCGAAGAGAGGGACGTTCTGAATATCGGGGTCGTGTTCCTGAGCGTGTTAGTGAAAGCCTTTGGCAGATTCAAGCTGGTTGACTTACAGGCTGGTTGGTGATGAGGTGGTGGACGTTGTGACTGCTCTTCCACCATCCCATAGACAGACCGCAGCAGAAGTCGGCAATGAAGAGACCAATGAGGGTGTCGAAGGAGAAGTTGTGCGTAATGGCACCGTGGCCAGCGTCGTGGGCGGTGAACATGATTTGATGCTGTGTCGTGTTAGTCCTGGTCCATCAAACTGAACATGATGACTTACCCAGAAGAGACCCAAGAAGCAAGCCGAGGTCATGTACCACTCGTAGTGGAGGAAGATGAGGAAAGACACGAACAAGGTCGTGTAGCGGGCCATCTCCTTGCCATAGTCGAGGTAAGGGCAGTCGTAGAGACCGGCGTCCTGAATGCGGTCGTGCAAGGCGCGGTACTTGGCCTGGATATCTTGCTGGACGGCAGGGTCGAGAGACGGGTATTCATCGAGATCCTTCTCGATGCCCTGCTGCATGGCCCAGTCGGTGAACTCAGCGGCGGTCTTGGGGGCCTGGCTGCGGCTAGACAGCTTGAGGCCATCGTCGGTGAAGTCTTGAAGATCGCCGTGGGCGGCGAGACGTCTCCGGATGCCGGTGTCGACCTTGTCCTGGACCTTGACGTCCTCCTCGGCAGAGCTGCAGTCGGATGTCAGGGATGTGCGGGAGGTCCCATCGGAGACTTCGCTGACGGCATCGTCTGTGGAATCCTCGTCGAGATCCGACGAGGGGCAATCGACGATGTCGGCAGGGGCATCGGAGACATCTGCGGCTGCATCTGCAGGCGTGGTGTCTTGCTTGGTGTAGACGCCGCCCCTAATTGGTGGTGTCATGTTGACCCAAGGACCCGCAGGCTTCCGGCCTATCCGGAAGGCCTTCATGGTCTTCAGTGTGGCCGCCGAATGATACCTAAAAGAAGCGATATGTCAGCACACTAATTCCACTTTACACATCAACGACGGAGTCTTGACAAGTCCGAATGCGAAATATTAATGGCCCGTTCCCATCCCTCACCCTCATCTTCGCTTTCTCCAACCTGAGGGGCCGCTGCAAAAATAAGCTTAACCAGACTTCTGGTCCATCGATGCTATTCTGCCAGCCTCCTGAACCCTTTTTCCGAATTCGGAAATGGACCAGGGGGATCCCACCCAGATCTCTTGTGGCGCATAGCGAAGCAGAGTGGTGGTGGACGGGAGCCAGAAGGAAAAGAAAAATGTCCGCGAGGTAAGTTGAGAGTCATTTACACTTTGATTTCGTCGGTCGCGTCTCTTCCCACCATGTGCAGGATAGCCAAGCGGCCGCCGGGGTGCTTCTGGAGCCAGCTGTCGAGGCGAAGCACCATCTCGTCGAGGATGACGATGACCTTGCCGTCGGCGATGAGGCCCTCAACCTCACGAGGGGTGATTATCCTGGTGTCGCGGTCCATGATGGCTTATGGTGTCTGTCTTATGCGATGCGCTCGGAATTCGGTTCGATGATCAACAAGTGTCGGCCGCAAAAAAAAGAGCGGCGGAAAGAAGTCTCGAGGGGGAAGGAGCTCGAGAGAGGCGAGGATGCGGGAGCCTGGCGATGGGCTCCGGGAGGTGTGTTGGTCGACCAGGCGAAGGAAGTCAACAAAACCTCGATCAGGAAAGAAGGCGCTCACCGAAACGTGGCGGTCGAAGAAAAAGTCGAAGTCGAATTCACTTTCCGGGTCGCAGTCGCTCGCAATCCGATGATTGGGGCGGGTGGGCTGGTGGCAGGAGCGAAAAATCGACAAAGTTCGACAGAATGAGAAGGACCGTTTGCGCCCAGATGCAAGAGTCGGTGGCAGGAGCTGAGCTATTTTCTACTACCGGATCGCTCTCGACAGAAGCTTGGTGCTTGCTTGACTGGATGGACCTGGAAAAAGGCTGAAGAGTCAAGACCGGTCGAGCTTCAGATGATCGAATCCCTGTTTGGCCACCTTCACAATGGCAAAAGAGAAGTGTTGGAGGAGAGTCGCGCCATCATCAGACGAGAGAGAGACGACACAATTCCGGGCGGATGGGGGTAGGATAAAGGCCAACGACGAGCAGGCAAGGCCAGGTACGGGAAGGCAACAGGCGAGGCAGTACCTTCGCATGGGATAGGACAGGACAGGACAGGACAGCATGGGGACGGGGATGGAGATGGGGATGGGTATGGGGCTGGGATAGGGAGACCCGACGGCGACCAAGACTCGTCGTACCCCGTACGAGTGACGACCGTGGTGGTGTGGATCACTTTTCTTGTCGTCCATCCCGCGCTGCACACCCCAAGTCCAGGAAAAATAAAAAAGACTGGGAACTGGGAACTGGGAACATGGTGGTGCTGGTGAATGGCAAATGCAATGGGGGAATTGAGAATGACTGGGGACCGGGAAGGAACAAGACGAGAACAGGAGTCAGGCACACTGCAAGCTCGCGGGCACCACACCGCACCGCACCGCGGGCCAAAAAGAACAGAAAACAGCTTGTTCCCAGCAAGGCAGGTCGGAATCGAAACAGTGTGCGTGGTGGGTTCAAGGTTCCACGTTGCCGTTGCGAGATGCGAGAGAGAGAGAGAGAGAGAGAGAGAGAGGGACAGAGAGAGATTGAGTGCGGGCATTCCATCCATCAATCTGGGCCCCCAAACCAAACGGGAAATGGGAAAATCCCCTCGTCTCCTGCTCACCTACCATTCACCAGGCCGCGCCGTACTCCGCCAAGCGCAGAATGACAAGCAAGCAGCTAACGGCGACCCGCGGCACACTCTCACACTCTCACACACCCCTCTTTTCTTTCCCAATCTTGTTTCCCCCTGCTCCAATCCAGTAATTTGGCCGCTGGTGCTTTCGCTAGCCCCGGGGCGCAGCGTATTGTCTTTCACTGTGCATTTGTGCAGCTTCGCGTCTGTCTTGGGAAGCTTAGGGGGGATAGGATGGGGAAAACGGGGAACCGAGGACACACAGCAGACCCGACTCGCAAAGAAGTTGCGGCCAAGGACAGCAGCCGGGACGCTGGAGCCGTGGGCCGGTAGCAGCTTATCTGATTGACCGAGGGCCTTGACAGGACCCTGAAAGGCTGAAACGATGAATTTCGGGGTGCTGTTGAATCATGCGGTGCGCGTATTGGACCATACGCGGGTGAACCGTGATTCGGGGCCCCCATCCAATTCTCCAGACTTCTTTTTATGGTACCTTTATCGAGGCACCAGTACCCGTACCTATACCCGTACCGTACACAGAGAAATCTCAGTGCGAACTCACACACGCTGAAAAAGTTGGCAGAGTCAAGAACACGCGTCAGAAGCGAGAAAAGATGGAGAACGAGTGGGACGGGACCCAGGACCCTTGAAACTCAATTCCGTGCACGGCTCTGGACGTGGCAACTGTGAGCGCCAGCGTCGCCTGTGGTCCAAAGGCAGAGGTGCTCAGATGCTGCAACGCAGGCGGTGGGAGAATGTTTCTCGAAAAAGGGCACACGCCGGCCTAGTCTTTCTTTGGCTTGGCCTTGGCTGGCTGGGCTGGGAGGGGTGTGCGCCTCTTCGAGACTTGTCTTGGACTGGAACTTGGGACCAACGGCCGACGGCTGGGCAGTTGGAACAGTTGGAAGTTTGCCGAAGTTGGAGAAGGCTGGACGGAAATACGCGCCTGATTGGAGAAAAAGGAGGGTGGGCATGAAATTTCGACTCGAGTTTCGCCTGCTGATTCCTTGTTTCCAACTCGTTTTTCGGCTCTTCTTTTCGTTCTCATTCTCCTTTCCCGAGCCTTCAACAAACTGGCGGGTAGAAAGCGAGCAGGAAAAAGGTTCGTTTGGCGAGCCGAGCTGCTGGAGCAAATTGGCCCGAGAGAAATGGCGCTTGTCAAGCACAAGAGCGGAGGCCGTTTCCCATCAACGACAATGACGACCAGGGGGGTCGATCCAGGCTCTTGGCCACGGAAATTCTCCTTGGCGGCACCCGCTGCGCCTCAGAGCGAACCCATAGAAACCTTGCAACCAAGTGAGGAGATGCGACAAGGATGGTGGCTTCTTCCGTTGGGGTTTTGGTCAAAAGGCCGCCTCCAGGCTCGTTGCCCACTGCAATAGAGAACCTGTCAGTCTGCTAGCGAGCGCCAGTGGCACAGATAGTGGCTTTCTTCCCGACGGCTGACGATTTGGACTGGCTGAAGGAGGCGGGAAGCGTCATGGATGTTGGAGAATGCTTGGCGTCCGCCCCCAAGCCGGTGACGGGCCCAGACGCACCAAACATGCTCCCTAGCGAACGGACGTCCCATCTCATCTGATGTTTCTGGCGCCGTGCATCACGATTTTCCAAATAGCGCGTTTCTTCGGCAGGTGCCTTGGAACCTGGAAGGCCAGCAGCAGTCAGCCCGTGGTCAATGTTCTGCAGATGATGTTCGAAGGCATACAGAAAAGCAGGAGAAGTGTTCAGCTCACCTCAGCTGGCAGCCCCAACCGACGGCAGCAGCACAGCAGTAGCGAACGCCACAGAGACGAATCAGAACCCCCGACAATAGTGAACGGCTGATATGCTTGTCAATCTTGAACACCCCACTTAACAGCCACGACTAAGGCGAGATCCATTGCCAGTGTTCACAGTACGTACTGAGGCGTCGCATTCGCAGCGTACGTAATATCCCGTATCCATATTGGAGTAGCTCCAATCGGTCCAATGATGGCTGTTTGTGTGCGTGGGCAGTGGAAAGTGATAGGCAAGGGGAAACCCCAAGAATAGTGTAGGTGAGCGCCGAAGGTGAATCGAAAAAGTGGTTCGGCACCACTTGCGAGCACCGTCTGCCCTCTCTGGGCGGAGGGGCGAAAAGGGGGTTGGTGGGAATTGGATTGCGATGCCACAATGCGAAAAGAAAGATGAGGAGAATCTTGGTTGAGATGGGCAGAGGGTGTGATTGCATGCGCATCAATGACCAAATGGCTCACTCCTATTCCTTGGAGCGTGTTGGAGATGGATTCATGGAACAACGAAAAGTGGAGGACCTGCGCAGGAACACCACCACGCGAAGTCGATCCGAATGGGCGAGATGCAGCGCCTGTCGTCAGGTCGTGGTTCTTTGGATGCGCGCATCCAATACGCGTGAAGCTGGGCGAGGAGTCGAGAGGAACGAATACGTCGTTTGTGGAGCTTGCAGAAAGGGGTATGGCGGCTTTCCCTTTCCCTTGGAGACTTTTTGGAGACGGCTTCGGTTCGCCTCTGGGCCTGTGGCATCATTGGTGCCGTCGGTGATGTCGAAGTGAGGGGCAGCTCGTCTCGTCGATGGTCCTGCGCCATTCGGACGGGTGGGGGGAGGAAGTTGAGAAGCGGAGGGGGTTTGCTAGCGCAGTCGCAGTCGCAGTCGCAGTCGTACCTCGTACGCTAGGCACTTGGTAGCGTGTCCCTTTCCAAGCTTGTCCCAAGCTTCTTGCAGTCTTGCAGAGGTGAATGGCCCGGTCGCACCTTCCCCCAGGGGGATTTTGCTGGGTCTGGGCCCGTCGTCGACCCGCGTTGGACCCAGGGCGATTGTGATTCGACACAGCAGGCACGCAGATCACCGACCGTTGCAAAGCACGTGTCGGCTTTCATCCCGACCCAAGACGAGAAGCTCGGATCAGCTCGGAAAATCTCGAACCTGCCTCGGATGAATCCACTACTTCCTCGTTGAACTTTGAAGAAGTGGAATCGAGGTCAGAGCAGGTGCCGCCCACGGGTCCTAAGTCCCCGGAAGGTTCCCCCGTCCCCGACGGACCTGCCTCGCCTGCTTCCCGTCACTGTTCTCTCTCATCTGGAAGGCACGGGTTGCTCCTCCTTCCAGATCTTCCAGAAACCCACCCGCTAGCGCTTCGCAGACCGCTGACTAAGGTTTCATCCTGTTTCGGTCGCCACTGCCATCCGCTTGTGACGGCTTCCATCACGAAATTCGCCCCTCTTTGGCAAGAAGAAGCGCAAAATCACGACATTGATCCGTTCCAGACCACCTTTTTCTCAATTCTTGACTTGCCAAGCAGTGAAAAAACTCTTCAGCGACCTTCAAAGACAGCAAATGTCGTGAAACCAAAGCTGACTCGACGCAGAAACATCGGCATTGCTCCGGGTCACGTGGAGACATGTCATCGCAACCGTATTGGACGAAGAGGCGAAGCGCCGCCTCTGCCAAGACAAGGCTGCAGACGCACTTTGGGCAGAGTTCAAATCCAACGGGAAACCGTTATGCCTCATGAGCCAACGAGCTGCTATCTTTGCTATTATCTTTGCTGTTGTCGTTGCTATCATCGTCTTCATCGTCGTCGTCCACCGTCGTCGTCCGCTATCGTCGTCAACCATCATCGTCGACTATCATTATGATCATCAAAGTCATCAAGTACATGGAAAATACAGCCACCCAGACGCAGGAAATTTAGGCGGTCTCTTTTTTGAATTACAAGCATCGTACAACCCAGTTGCACACGCGCACACGCCCGCACACAGACAAAGTCGGACAGTCGGAGCGAGCTTTACGCGGGAACTTCAGCAAACTTCGGGGGTGCATTGCCACTTTCGGTCGAAATTAGTGCCAGACCATCGGAACCGGGCTTTTGACAGTGAGCCGCATCGGTCCGACACCACCGCCGCGCACGGGAAGAACAAGAAGCCCGCCAACCATTCGCTACGAGTGACGAGGTCGGCGGAACCACGACTGCGTATCAGTACGAACCGCTCTTGTCACCGGACTCCATCCGGCTGCTGGTCCTCCGACCCTCCGATTCCCACGATGCCAAACTCAAGGGATCCCTACTCCATTTCACACTGGCAGAAGTCGACGAAGACTTGATCGACAAACACACAGCCCTGTCTTACGCAGGGGGCAGTGACGTAAGGCCATGCCTGATGTTCCTTGATGGCGGGAAGTTCGCCATTACGCAGTCTCTACATGATGCCCTGCGCAATATGCGCGACCTCGCGCGGGCCCGGAGAGTTTGGGCTGAGGCCCTTTGCATCAATGAGACGGACGTTGCCGAGCGCAATGATCAAGTTAAACTCATGGACAAAGTAATGGAATGGCATCTAGTACCGTCATCTACCTCGGGCGTCCTACCGAAGATGCGGCTAAATTTGTCGCTGCCGCGAGAAGAGTCAACGAGGATGACGTTCCCGAGTCAGATATTTGGGACACTAAGGAGGCACGTGCCGTAGAATACCATCACAAGCAGGCGGAGGTAAACCTTCTCCAAGTCGCTTGTCGTGATCTTTTATCCCGACCGTGGTTCAAACGCGTCTGGGTGCTCCAGGAACTAGTTCTTTCTACAGATCCCTGGATACAGTGCGGTCGTCAACGAGTCCGTTGGGACGAATTTTGCCATCTTTTACGCCATAAACTGGCAGCTCGGTCTGACGAAGATAAGGCATTGTTACGAGTTCTCGACCATATGAACGGAATTCGCTGTACCTCAGACAATTCAGAATGTGCTCTCTGGCAGGTCGTTCAGAGGCGCCGAGGGTTCGGTGTCACCGATCCACGGGATTATGTATGCGAATCTTAGCATCATCAATGACCTGGGATTGGTCAGCAAACACGTCAGTGTTGATTATGGGGACTCCATACAGAATATATTCTCTAAGATGGCTACATACAGCGTTAGCGCATGCGGCTTCTCAAGATTATCAACACAAGTTAACGATATGCATCCCGAGGAGCGTCTGGACGGCCTGCCATCTTGGTTTCCAGACTGGCGATACCCGGATCCCCTCTTAGACCCCATATACAGCGCCTGTCCGGTCACTCCGTCAATTGAGTGTGAAAAATACCGCTATGTTCTGAGGATTGGCAGTGCACCACCAATATTGGCGTATACAGGTTACAAGATTGATTCTATCGACAGCGTTAGCGCCGTCGTCCCGTTCAACAGCGATGTTGGTGAAGCTTTATTAGCTTCGGAAGTATGTTGAGTGCGCGCCAAACCAGAAAGTCGACTTGAGTTTTTAACCTCTACAGAAGCCATTGTATTCAGAATCAATCACGGCTATGAAGGCAGCGACGTCATGCAGAAGCGAGAGAAACGGGGCTACTGGCATGTGTACGATTCAAGGGAGGGCTCTGACCGCCTGCGAGAGGAACTGATGAATCGATGGTGGAGTCGATTCGTCGACGCGTTGGATCAGCAATTGAAAGAGGAGTCTTCCGGGGGCACGAGCTTCGTAGCCACATATTGTCAATGGATATCCGAAAGGCTGTACGCCGTCACTGCTCAGGCAGGCACCACTTCGGACGATTGGTGGGAGTACTTTCGGGTCAGACACAGTATTCCGCAACCTCTCACTAGCTACCTCAGATACGACGCTGAAGAGAGTCTTACCAAGAGACGTGTTGCTTTTACCAGTTCGGAAAGATGTGGACTGGTTCTGAAGCAAGCGCGGAAAGGAGACGCGATTATCTTCAATGGGACTGTCGCACAACCGCTCATTGTTCGGTCAAAGGAGTTGACAAAGTCTCAAGTGGTCAGCACCATGCTGATCCTAGCTCTACGATGCCAGATACCGCAGGAAACGACGCCTCTTGTAAACGAAGGTGAAGCGGGAGATTGGCCGTCTTTTCTGGCACGAGAAACGGACTGCGTCGAGCACTATTCGGTGATTGGACAGGGTTGTTTTGCAGGTTGCCTGATCTAAGCAATCGGCTCACAAGGGAGCAAATGCGTGTGTTTGTGCTGCATTACATACTCGATGCGTCAAGAGAAACGCGCATTGGCGAGGAGATAAAAGTCTCACTGAGCAACTATCGCGTCCCTAGGAGTTTCATGAAGGCGTCTCGCTGCACAGAGCTTGAACAGTCTTAAGATATTGCATGATCTACATTCTTTAACCCAAGCCATATAAGTCGCCTCACCCAACAACTCGCCTTACTACACCTACTTTCAATTTAGTAAAACATTTTAGGTCAGTCTAAAGTGAGTAGAGTGAGTAAGAAATAGTTCAATAAGCAAATAACTTAAGTGGCAAGTCTGCTAGGATTCTCTAATCACCGAGTTTCTGCCGGATGTCTTTTCGAGAATCCCGGCGGCCACTGCTCGTAGTCCAGGTCCATAAGCGTGATTCCGTCTTCTGGCTGGTAACCCTCCGGCGCCCTTCTCCACTCCTCGGGGATAGAGATGTACGTCTCGACATAGCTTGCGTTACACGACATGCCATTGTAAACAGAATCCAGCTCGCCTTTGTTCGTTCCAATCCCAGGGGGCCGCGAGGGCAACTCTGTGTCAAAAAAGTATACGTGTTGTGGTAACTCTTGCACTAGCGGGTCGAGCCGTGGCACACCTCGAGTCATATCAAGCCCTAGTTCCCCCGCCTTACGCTCTAGAGCTTCACGATAATACACATTATAGCTTCGCCTGGCCTCATTCAGGAGGCTGAAACTCGGCTCGACGGGCTCGCCACCGTCGTCCCCGGCAATAAGGCTATCGAATAGCGTCTGATTGTCCGAGAAGATGGCAGCACGAGCAACACTGGGCCGCATTGGGGGGATGAGGCGTGCGAGAGCCTCATACGTCGAGGAAGCAGCGACGGCAGGATACCAGATCAGTCGGGGCCAGGCTCCGTTTGGAGACAGGATGTAAGACAGATCGTTGTTCATGATTCCTCGCGCCGATATGGCCTTGCGGATGGGCGATTCATCGCCCTCGGGTAGTGGCTGGCTTTTCCACCATTGGGCAAAAAGCGTATTATGATCTGCAGAAAATGTCAGAAGCTGCGAAAGGCCTCCTCTCGCAAGGGTTGGTCATACATATTCCGCGGACAATACATCCAATCTCGTGGTCAAGGAGTCGCGGTCGTCGCAGTCGATGGTACCTATCGATGTCGCCGTTGTATGCTGCCATGAGAATGAGCAAGTCTTTATGGCAGGTGGTCAGGTCGACTGGGAGCGGCTGGCAGAGAATCTTCAGTGCCTCTTCATCAGAATTCGGGACTACTGGGGTAATTGAACCCGGAAGTCCACCATTCCCGTCGAGATCGATGTTCATATCCTCGGTGATGTTGAAGAGAGTCTGTATGAAGCCGAGCGAAGGGCTGAGGCCCCAGGGATCCAACTCGTCGTCCCCAGGCTCGGAATCCCCTTCTTCGTCATCCATGCGACCAACTGGCGGTCCAAACGCCTGGGTCTCCAGCAGATACGGCCGGATTGCGGTATCGCCGTTCAAAAAAGCGGGCTTCGGTGTTGTGGTGTTAATCGCGCGGTTGTAATCGTCAAAGACTTTGTACCGACAGGGCGCCTCCATGATCATATTGAAGATGGCATGGTTGCCGTTCTCGCGGGCTTCCTCCGCGATAGAAACCTCGGGCAGGATTTGAACGGAAAGCTCATTGTAGAGCTCTGTGTGTCCGGCGACAGCACACGCGCGCGCGGCCTGGTAGGCCATGGCGGGAAAGCACCGGACGAGCTCTCTGAGGGTGTCTTCCGAGGGAAGGTCAGGAAACCATATGCAGTAGGGCATATCTTCGGGTTGATCGGGGTCCATGTCTGGGATTCGATTGCTCATGATGGCTCTCGCGTTTAGGGCACGAGTAAAGATTGGTAGCGATCCGCGGAGGACGGCGGCTGGGCCGAAACAGAAGTCCGCATGGAACCTAATGCCGCGGACGACGCAGAGACGCGTGAGCTCTCGGCCGAGATCATGCGGGAGTCGTTTGCCCTCGAATGCTGCCACAGCATCCGCGTGGATGTATCTGCGAGACCGCAAGCGCTGCTCTATGTCGCCTGTAGCCGCTTGCTCTGCTGCCCGGACTGGCAGATCAGCCATTGTGGTTTGCGTCTGAATGGGGGAAAAACAAACGGAAAAAAAGAAGAAAAAAAAGTAGCAACCCGATGGCGCCTGTGTTGTCAAGTTGTGTTATAGGTGTTATAGGGAGCTGAGAGGGGGAAGGGCGTACGATGAAAGAGGGGTGGTGGTGGTGTTGGGGATGATAATTATGCCCCCACCTTCCCTATTGGGACCCCTTTGAGAAGCCAAGGTACAATAGCTTAGACTAAGGTACAGAGTTGGTAGCGTTGCCTGTCCGTCCTTGCCCCTGGACGTGGATCACGGCTAGAGGAAGACATTGAGCCGGCCAGTTCCTCCGCACTTCTGGCCCGAATTACCGCCACAGGCCATGTTGCAGTCTCTCTCTGCGGCGACTACGGATCCTGCAGCCCTCTGGGCGCCGCAGAAGCATTCGCGATCGAATTGCACACCGAACCTGGAGAAACCCCTGTCGATGCAGAATTTCGCGCAGTTTTCAACCGTCGTGCCGTCGTTGGCCAGAACGGCCATTTGGCGACAAAGAAGATAGGGTTGGCACTCAATGATGTTACAAGGTTGGTAAGAACTTGCTAATTACTTACCTCCGTCTAGGGCTCTTCCGCCCGTCGAGAGCTCCGTGAAGCAGCCTTCGTACCTGAACTCCATCGGCTGCCACTCCAGCTGCCTGTTGTTAAAGCTCAGTCTGTTGGATCCATCGCACGTCTGGCCCGAGTTGCCGGCGCACGGCATATTGCACTCGGCTTCGGCAGAAAGGAGCGAGACAGTTCCAAGCACTAAGTGCCACAATCATGAAGGAGATCATAAAGACAGGGTCCTACCTCGCCGACCAACACAATATCGGAGTCAGTGAATCAGAACTCCCTGCACAGGAGGGTGACTGCGTCTACCACTGCTCGGTGGTTGGGCAAGGTTTTGTTGACATCCCCCGGATCCCCCTATCGGTCAGCTTGTCAAAGACTAGCTGCATGTGTTGGCGCTCCATTGAAATGTCTCAGACAGGACGAAATGAACCAGGAAGCCGGAGAAGAGACAGCTCTCAATGCAGCAACTGCACGTATGACGACTTTGTTGCGGCGTCTGACTTTATGTTCAATCGATCATCATTGAGGCTACCACATGTGATTCATCTAAGTTGACATTAGTTTATTCTTTGAGTTTTGCCAGCCGGGCGGTGTACTCTATAACTCCACCGTACCCAATACTTCTATAAGGATGACGGTTGTAGAGAAAAGGATAGGGGTAGTGATAATAATGATGATGGATTACGACGAAAGACGACGATGATGGACGATGATAGATGATGATGACGAAGGACGACGATGATGGAAGACGATGATAGACACTGCCCGGATAGCCAACCGGCACTGTCCGGCTAGCAAAATTCTCTTACATCTCTAGAATGAGACCAACTGGGCTTTGCATGGCTGTCACATTCGATCCCCCTCCCACCTCGGAGCGTTCAATATCAACGCCATCAGCGACCCAGACAGCAGCGCCGTGACAGGCACAGTAATAAACCACCCAAAATAAATCCACGCCACCAACCTCGGGTTAATACACCTCCAGTCCCCATTCGCGAGCCCAACACCCACCGTCGCGCCCGCGACACACTGCGTCGTCGACACCGGCAACGCCAGCCGCGTTGCCATCAGCACCGTAATCGCGCTCGCCAGCTCCATCACGAACCCGCGGCTCGGCGAGATCAGCGTCAGCCTGTGCCCGAGGTTGCGCATTACATGGTACCCGTACGTCAGCAGCCCCAATACGATCGCGCCGCCGCCGAAACACAGAATCCACAGTGGCACGCCGACCGCCGTTTCCACTCTCCCCGAGCGCCAGATGTCGTAGGCTGTGGCAAAGGGCCCGATGGAGTTGGCCACGTCGTTGGCGCCGTGGATGAAGGACGCTGTAGAGGCCGTGAGGATCTGCAGCGCGCTGTACATGTACTCTGCGCGGTTGTCGTAGTGCGGAGCTCGCGCGTGCATGTCCTCGATGTCCCAGCTGAGGAGGGCATTGCGCTTTTGCAGGCTGACGACGTCCTTTTCGAGGCCGCGGAGGACGAGGCGGTTGATGCGCCAGAGGAGGACTGGCAGGCTGTTCCACGGCCCGGCGGGGCGCGGGGGAATGATGTCTTCTGAGGAGCGGCGGGAGGTGACTGTTTCTGCGGAAGAAGGAGTTTGCGGGAGGGCGAGCGCCGGGGAGGGGAGAAGGACGGCTGGCTCGTCTTTAAAGAGATCGGAGGGCGTCTGGCTTGTCTGGATCGATTCGAGGAGGGTCTCGGAGGCGCGGACGTAGGCGAGCTCGTCGACGGTGAGGTGGCCGCGGTAGTAATCTTTGATGTTGATCTTGTTGACGCCCGGCGGGGGCGGAGGGGGTGGTGGGCGGTTGAGGAGCCAGGGACCTTTCCATATCATTGTCCACTCGAGCTGCCAGTCCTCGTTGACGATCTTGCGCCAGAGGTAGGGGAGGATGAAGAATGCCTGGAGAGAGGTGGCGCCGGTTGCGACGGAGAAGACGGCGATGAGGATCTGGGTGGGGGTGAGTTCGACCTCGGTCTGGACCCCTTTCCACGCCATGAGCACTGGCAATCGTGTTAGTGACGGTTGAGCTCACATAGGCAAGGGGTTTCGATTACTCGTCAACGCTCCAAAGGTCAGGAACGTATAGAACGGGATGGAGTAAAACGCCTTCCTCACCGCGTTCGTCTTCGTCAGGACGAACTTCTTCGTCACAAGAAAGAGCCCCGCGCCCAGCACGCCCGATAACCCTGGCGCGACGATCCACGCCGCAAAGACCTGCGACACGCCGTCCCAGCCCCACGAGATCTGGCCGATGCCGACGGACGCCGTCGCAGCGCCGACGATGCCGCCGATGATGGAGTGCGTCGTCGAGATGGGCAGGCCGTTGCGGGTTGCGATGCTGAGGAACACGGAAGACCCGAAGATGGCGCACATCATGACGAGCAGCAGCACGCTCGGGCGGTCGTCGTAGAGGTGCGGGTCGATGATGCGGTTGCGGATCGTGTCGGCGACGCGGGAGCCGATGGAGACGGAGCCCCCGAACTCGGCGAAGGTGGCGATGACCATGGCCTGCTTCATGGTCAGGGAGCGGGAGGAGACGGAGGTCGCGAAGGAGTTGGCGACGTCGTTTGCGCCTGGGCTAAGTCAGTGGATGCTGGTCCGGGGTTGGGTTGACTGCCTTTGCCGGGGGTTTCCACGACGGGAGGTTCTTACCAATGTTCCAGGCATCGAGAAAGGAAAATATGGTGGCTATCGCAAAGATGTAGTCATATTGGTGGAGGACTGCCGCCATGACGGCTCGCTCGGCGTACGGTGGCACGGAGGTGCGGTGTTGGGAAGTGGAAGATGCGCGTCTCGGCTCCGGGTATGTTCGGCGGGGCCAGTCCGGCGGGACACGGCTCGGCCGCGTTAATGGGGACTCATGTTACGAGTCAGGCCTTCAAAGCATTCTCTTTCTAGTAGTTCTGTTTTGATGCAACACGGCGGCTCGCGATGAGGAACGAGCACGATGGATGATCCGCGTTGGGTATTGAGAGGGTGGATGCTGCGAGCGTCCGGGGGCTAGGGGACGGTTATATGAATCGCGCATTCCGGCCTGCCGTAAGCCGAAAGCTCCAAAATAGGGCGAGCCTTCCGCATGGGATTGGCAACGATGTGGTATCAGGGATCTTGGTGTGCCTGGATGGGCTGCGTGGGCGAGATGACAGGCGCATGCTTCTGGGCTGCCTCGTCCGCCCGGCTGGCCTCGCGTTAGTGACATTGATATCTCCAGACCCCAGCTAGCTGCGACAGCTGGGAGACTAAGACACGAGGCGGGGAGGTGGTCGATGACAGGCTAGATAAGCTGTCTTGGAAGCTCCATATTGCTGACCGACGGGGGCGGAGCTGGCGGACGCGAAAGGGCGAAACACCGCACCCTTTGGGCGCTCGGTATGTCGTTTCCACTCGGGAGGCTCGGTCGCTATGCAAAGATGATGGCATGATCAACGCCTGCAGAAATGCGGCAGTGGCTGAAGGAGCAGCTCTGCGAGAATCATTGTGACACGAAAGATGTGCGAGAGCTGGAGAGCTTGGCGGACGTTGAAAAAAGGAGCCAATCGATTGCTGGGATTCGAGCACGCTTCTCAACGCTGCGAGTTCGCCAAGACCCACAACCCACGCGGGCGCCGGGATGGAGGGTGACATGGGTTGTTCCTGTTTGGGGGTGCTGTTGGTGTTCTCCTGTACCAGCGACGCGCGGTGCTATTCTGCGTGGGCCTTGCGGATCATCGACTCTTCCGCAGTGTACATCCTCGGTGCTGGGCCTTATTTCATGGTTCTTTGACTATACATAGCCAGGAGTGTCTTAGCACGAACGACTGCCAGAATCGTGCTGTTGAGATCCGGCAGAGCTCGGATTTATGGGTGGATAGCCTGTGTACTAAGGCTATCGTAAAGATCGTGACTCCTATTGGCGGGGTTGCCACATTGGCCAAAGACAACATCAATGGATTGTTGTCTTCCATTCTGGCCTGGCTGGAGGGTTCCAAAGATGTCACTGGTCGACGTGATTTCGAGGGGTTTCAGCTTTTCACCCTCAATAGACTCCGCAACCAGAATGTGCCTGAGACATGCAAGACAGCGTTAAGCGCAAAGGTCCTGTGCGTCTTTTGGGTGAGCCTGTGTGAAGAGCCGGGATACAGAGGTACTCTCGGCAACAACGTTGACTGACTCGGTTTGTGACTCGGGTTGCGGAAAGTCACTGCAAAGCTGGTTCGACCCCGGCAATGCTGGATGTCAGGGCTACAAGATTTTTGGGGGACCATTGTACTGCTTGTCGCCGCTAACCCATCCCTTGGGAGCTAGTATTCGGAGTGCACGAGCAGTTTGGTGTCTGGGAACGCGTACTGCTCCGGGCCAACATATGACTGGGAGCATACGGAGGAGCTCTGAACATGGAGTGCCACGCGATGTAGTCCCATTCACATTATTGCACTAGGATAATACTACCAGTCAACGCCTGGAATACCCCAAAAATTCAGAGCCCCGTCGGTCTCGGACCACGGGTCTTCAGCCCATCCGCTTTCCTCGTAGATAAAATCCGGATCCTCTATCTCGAACCACATCCCCCAGAATTCATATATTCCCGCACGACACCATAGTCTACCGCGCTTCGGCCATCCACGGTCAGCCCATTGCTCTCCAGTGACGAGTTTGATCCAACGCTGGTTCCTAGGCGGATCCATGTCGGCAGTAACAGTTTCCCGATCCTCAGGCATGGCCAGAATCGCATCGATACTCTGCTGGTCAAGCATCAAGCAGAATCTAAAACGGGCATTAGGAACATCGCGTTTGTCGGTAGAGTTGAGATGTTCCTTGACCCAGTCATCGAACCGTCTTCCAACCTCCTCCACATCTGCTCCAGCGAGTCCCGGGTCCTCTATGATGTCGCTGTAATACCGACTTGAAAGATCCTGGTTAGGCAGAGGGTCTTGGGGCTCTCGGCCTCGGCTACGAGCGAGGTCATGATAGGCCCAGTGTTTGGCGTAGTTGTTGAGTCGCTCAACGGCCTTCGTGAATGCCTCGTCAGACTCGTAAGCGGTGCGAAAGATGGTAAATCCCCAGCAATAGGGATAGTCATGGCTTCCATCGTAGTCGGCCATTTGAAGTAGATGTTGCCTTGTGCTCCGATTCGTTTCCGGATCGTTAACGAAACGAGGCTTTGGGTTGGCTATTGCCATATCGATGGGCTGGAAGTTCGCCATCGCTTGCTTCCAGTATGCGGGAATTACTGTATGAAGCGCCAAGACGGCGAGAGGGGAAGGTCTGTCGAAGCAAGAGAAACCAACGTTTTTTTATTCTCTTCAGGTGCCTGCATCCATAGGTTGCTGACTAGCCCGCCCGGGTCGGGATTTAGAGTGGGGCCGGAACCATGGTCGACACATTGTTGAAGTTGTCTGAAGAGCACGATTGAATCTAATATCAGAAGAGCTCTAGCATTAAAAATCAATAACTGTTATTCATCTCTCGTTGATTACCCGACCTATCACGCTATGCATATTCTTTTACCACTCAAATTCCGATGACTAAACTTTTGCCAGCCCCCACCCTCCTTTCGCAATACGACAAGCAATGAGGAACGATGTTCCTAAGCACAAGCAGAGACCTCCGAATATGAAAGCGTACGTGTAATCTCCCCCGCCGATCTTGATCAACGCGCCGGCGAGAGGGGGGCCGGTTAGGTTGGCAAAACTGACGATGGAGTACACCATGCCCATCCGTGTGCCTGCCTTGCGAAGGTCGGTTGTAAGAGACGATAAGGCGGCTGGAAATAGACCTTGTACCGTGGCTCCGAAGATGCCTTTAAGTCGGAAACACGTTAGCGATGTTTGTATCTTAAACTCGATAACAGCGTGGGGGGCAGGTGTCCAAGGCAGCTCAACATTGACGTACCATATATCACAGCCCAGGCGTATAAACCAGCAGCACTCTTGATTGCCATCCAAGAAAATAGAAGGATAGTGCAAACTGCGGCAGCGGGTGTGACAACGTTGAGAGGTCCCAGGAACAGATCTGCGAGAAAGCCGGGTATGACGCGGCCAATGGCTCCAACTCCGTTCATTATCATCAGAATATCGATCGAGGTATCATAGGAGAACGACAACTTGTCGCGACTAAAGGGACCAATGCTACTTCATGTCAGTGTCTGATGTTTGAATGGGCTTTTACTGTTGTGACTGGACTTACTAGTAAAAGGCAAAGTAGACACCCCAGAAGTTCTAAAAGCGGTCAGCATTTTCTGCACAAGTTTGGAGTTGTTCAAGACATACAAAGAACATGCCAATCGTGAACAAGAGATATGGCTTCTCCTTGAAAGCCGAAAATTCGACAAGCGAGCCGGCACGTCTCGGTCGAAGCCGAGACCTCATAAAGATGTTGGCAACCAGCAAAGTCACGAGCTGCACCAACGCCATCACCCGCATCGTCCACCCGAAACCAATCTTGGGCAAGAGCTGGCGCGCCATGACCGGATATATCATGCCTCCCGTAGCCGAGCCGCTGATGGCAATCCCAATAGCCAGGTTCCGCCGGCGCTTGAAGTACGTCGACAAAACAGCCATGACCGGGCAAAACAGCCCGCCCATGCCGAGTCCGATGCAGAGCCCCTGGGATAGGAACAGCTGCCAGTATTCCGTTGCGAAGGACGCTGTCAAGCTGCCCAGAACTACGAGCGCCGAGCCGATGCCGAAGACGGTGCGAAAGTATCCCGCGTCCGTGAGCCGTCCGGTGAAGACGCCCACGACGAAGAGGAAGAAGACTTGCATCGAGCCTATCCAGCTGATGTCTGACGCTGGCCGGGAGAGGTATTCGCGGTAGAAGGTCTGGAAGATGCCGAAGGAGTTGATGGTGCCCCATGTATTCACGACGACGAGGTGTGCCATGAGGGCCTGTGTCCAGGCTTGCAGACCGCCGTCTGGGGGTGGTTCGTCGGCGTCGGCGGGGGAGGTCTTGGAGGTCTCTTTCGTTGGAGCATTTTGTTCGATGTCTTCGTCGGATGTATCGAATATTACGGATGTTGAAGGTGATGGGTGAGAGCTGGAGGTGTTGTCGGGTTGGTGTTTGTCTTTGGAGTATTGCCCTGCTCGGGGCTGCGTGGTGTCGTCCATGATGACGGGGACAGTAGTGCAAACGGCACAGAGAACTCAACAAAGGGGTATCGTCAAAGCAAAGCGTCTTCAGTTGTTAATTAACATGCAAACCAAGAGAACAGGCATTATCTCAAGCTAGATATTAGTTTATATTCTCAGCAGCCGCCGAGGGCACACAGACGGCCAACATCCCATTCCCAGCGTTGCTATCATCGTGGCACTTACACCTCCCATGTCTGCCGCCGCAAGCCGAAGCGCTCAGCCCAAGCGACCCGATAACTTTTCGAGAATATCAAAAGGAACACTCTTAAGGTCCCGTACTCTGACTCAGGATGCCCAAGTTTTCCGGACGAGGGGTTTCCCGCACCAATTCCCTTCCACTGCGGGTTTCCCGGCAGTTCCCCGGTGAGTTTTCCGGTAACCGGCGAACTTTCCCGCGGGAAAGATAGCGAACAGGGGCACGAGTTGCACTCAACGCCGTCAGAGCTTCGGAAAGCGACGCAAATTTTGTCGTCGGCGGAGATATCGTTGCTTCAGATTTCCACCTAGGGAAGTTAGTCGCTCGGTTTACGTCGGCGTGGGGACTGGTGTCCAAATCTCAGTCTGTCTCCTGACTTGACAGAACATTTTGGGCCTGCTTTCGGGTGTAAGTGGCCGACAGCTG